GAGCTACGTGAGCTCAGAGGAAGGACAGAGATCACACAAGACAACTTCCTCCCTGCTTCTTCTTCCCTTCTCTTCTGTCCATGACTGGTGTCCAGGGAGGACTCCATCCATCCCTCCCCAGGGACCCCCAGGCTCCAGCTCTCCTGACCCTCATCACTCTGTGCTCTCTCCAGCAGCTCTGGGATTTTTTGGGGCTGTTCCCAGCTCAGGAGATGCTGCAGCAGTTGCTGGGGGTGGGGGGACATGAGAGGCTTTTGCACATACCTGAACATATCTGTATATAATTGTATCTATTTTCTTGTATCATTAGTGTTTAATTAAAGCTGTGGAGTTGAGTTTTCAATCCAGCCAAGTCTCTCTCTTTTTCTCTCTCTCCTTCCCTACCTGGGTGGGGGGGAGGGGATCAAGTTGTTGTCAAACCTCAGTCCCACAGTGACACCTGAACATGGGGTGACCAGTCCCTGGGGTTAGTTGGACCTTCGGTGACCTGTCCCTGGCGTGACCTGACCCCAGTGTGGCTCCTCCCCAAGGTGACCTGGACCCATCACCAAGGTTAGCTGGACTTGGGGTGACCCCTCTTCAGGGAGATCCACTCTTGGGGTGACCCATCTCTGGGGTGACAGGCAGGGGATAGAGGGGACTGATGCTTGCAGACACCCTCCAGCTCCCCCCCTTTGACCCTGAGAGTCAAAAACCTCCAAAAACCTCCAACCCCCCAAAACAAAACCCTCTGAGAGTCCCAGGGCTGGGCCAAAAAGCTTCTGCTGGGGCAGATTCCAGCCCAGTCCCTCCAATTCCAGCTCCAAACTTCCCTGGACATCACAGGAACCAGTGGCGCAGGGGAGGAGGAGGTGACACAACCACAGACCCCCCCCCAGGGAGGTCCCAGTAACACCCAGGGAGGTCCCAGTAACACCCAGGGAGGGGAGGACTCAGAGCACCCACCAGCCCAGGCCCAGCAGCTCTAATCCCAGCTCTGTTTTCCAAAGCCAGGACACTGAAGCCTTGGGAGGGAGAGGAAAAAAAAAAAAAGAGATAAATAAATAAAAAAATCATCTCCCAGCTCCCACATTCCTGGGTGGAGAGTTTACATTCCCCCGGCCAGCCCAGCGTCGCCTTCGGGAAACAAAAGCAGCCTCGGGTGGGAGATGAATTTCTGGGAAGAGGGAAAACCCCCCTGAGCACAAGGACCAGCCCATGGGCAGCACCCCCAGGTCAAAGCACCCCCCAGTACCAGGGATACAGCCCTGGGGGTCCCTATGGAAAGGGTAGATCCCCCCCACACACACAACTTGCCATGTGTGGAGTTGAGGGGGGGGTGTCACTTTGTCCCCTTGGCTGAGGGTTGTCCTGTTAATGTCACCACCAGGGGGGTTCCCCCCCCCGCCCCCCCAGAGGGAGGCAAAGGCATCGTCAGTGATAACATCAATAAAATCAATATCCTTGATCCCATTTCATTCCCATTTGGAGAGACATGGAAAGCGAGGGGGGGTGGGGGGGTGGGGAGGGGGTCCGGCC